CAAGATATTTTGGCCTTCTCATGAAAGTGCACGTTTTGTTCATGTCAAGACTCTCTTTGCACCATAAGTGAGAACTTAATAATTAAAAAAATGTTTTCAAACATTTTTTTAATTATTAAGTTCTCACTTATGGTGCAAAGAGAGTGTTTTGATATGTTTAATAATACTTTAATACTTTATGTTGTTTATTTTATGTAGCCTATTATATGTTCTATATTGTGCAGATCCAGTAGCAAGTCAAGTGTATAGGGGAAGGGTGAGAGATATGTGAAGCCATGAAGAGCATCATCTAACCATTTAACATTTGTTTTGATATTAACATCTTATTTTCAGAATTAATCAGTTGGCAAACTCCAAAACTGAATGAGCTTTGTGTGTCTTTGTGTGTGTGTGTGTGTGTGTGTGTGTGCACGCTGTGTGCATGTGTGGGGGTTCAGTTGAAGAGGGAGACAGATTTTCTTGCTGAAAGCATAAAATCTCCTAGCAACACACAGAGGCTTCCACAGGTTGTTCCCAAAGCAACAGCAATCCCCCAAACTCAACCCCACACCCACCAGAGAGAGAAGAGAGGGGAAGGGGAAGAAACAGACTCCACAATTTCAGTTGAACAACATTTTTTTTGTCTCATGCAGCTTTTTTGTCTCATAATTATATTTATATATGTGTGTGTGTGTGTGTGTGTGTGTGTGCACGCTGTGTGCATGTGTGGGGGTTCAGTTGAAGAGGGAGACAGATTTTCTTGCTGAAAGCATAAAATCTCCTAGCAACACACAGAGGCTTCCACAGGTTGTTCCCAAAGCAACAGCAATCCCCCAAACTCAACCCCACACCCACCAGAGAGAGAAGAGAGGGGAAGGGGAAGAAACAGACTCCACAATTTCAGTTGAACAACATTTAAATGCCCGCTGACTAACTCAGACAATTTGAGAAACTTTTCATACACACCTTTTTTGTCTACATATGAAACTGATTAGTAGTCCAATAAAGTTCACAAACCTATTAATTTCTCATGAATCATTAGTACAGTCACACTAGACAATACAACTGTTCCCCATATAATTGAAAAAGATGGTTTAAATGTTTTTGAATTGATTTTATATCAGTTTTCACACGGTTTTCTCAGAATCTGAGCAATACTGAGTCAAACCCATCTGTCACAGGTCAGATAAAATCGAAAGGTTTTCAGTCATACCTCAAATTTGACAAAATGTGCAGCAGAGTTATTTTAGCATCAATGAGAAACTATTTCAATTTTTATTCATTTTATTTTTATATTTTCTGCTTTTATTTTAATTTTTGTTGAAGGTTTTCGTATTTCTGTGTAATTTTGTCCTTTTATATATATGTCTAGTTGTATTATTTTTTCAGTTTTAGTTTTAGTTGTTTTAATTCATTAAGTTAAAATGAAAATGAGAAATGTTTCCATGGGAACTAGTTGAATTACAATAAGTTTTTTTTTTTTAGATTTGATTTTATTTCAGCTAACATTCATTTTAGATGAAAAAAAATTTTTGTTTGTTTTTTTTGTAATGGTTTTAGTTTTAGCTAACTATAATAACCCTGACATGCAGATGTGATTTTACTGTACTAAGTGATGTACTGTATGTAACAGCATGATAAAGTTACCAGATAAAAGTTAAACACGTGTTTTTAACCAATATGGTATAAGTTTGGCTCTTTATTCATGTTTATGACTCGACGGGACACAGTTGCTATGCTCCAGTTCAGAGCTGCAACAGAGAGCAGGACCAACAGCATATTTATGCACTGCTGTCTGCTTGAATGCCACCTAGAACATTATTATGCTTGACTTACATGCTCAAACAACAACAAAAAAAGGAGCGAGAGCGAAGTAGTGCAGGTTTATCTGTGCATAAGTCAGACTGTAGGTGTGGTGCTTATTCATGGGAGAGAGATATAGCAAACATTTGCCATTGAAGGATTGTGCAAGAACAATGAACCGATGAGTGACAAAAAACCTCAACAAGTGAGCAGAATATCAATCGTCTTAACTAACGTCACACAGCTTAACGTGAGTCCCCAGAAACATGTAAATTATTTAAACTTTGCTTGAGCATCAATCATCTCAGTTATAATCAGACATAAGTACTGATCTATTATCATCTCAACGGGACAAAAAAAATCACATACAAAAATCTTATACAAAAATTGATACAAACTAAAATACACCACACATATAACACAATGTATCTTCTATTCTTTACATGTGTAAAATCTCGACTTTAACAGGTAGCAACTTTCTTCAGATATCATCATTTGAGAAGCAGAATATGGTACAATATCAGATATTGCATATTGACATTGTATATTTAGTTGTGCATGCTTATTTCCGGCTTTTACATTTAGATTACCTTTGCCGTCATCTAATGCTCACTTAAAGTTAATCATTAAAAACTAATCAAAGTAATAACACTGTTAAATGTAATCTTTACCCAAATCTCAAAATGAATTTGAATTGTTAATGCTGTAGATTATACTGTTATAATGCCTAAATCCAAAATACTGATTTTAGTTGTTACAGTGTTTCTTTTTACTTTACTTAGACAAAATAGAATATAACTACCATCTACCATTTATAAGTTATCAGACATAACACAAAGAGAATTATCATCTTATTAGCATCATATAATTTCTTTAAAATACTTTTTTTTTTTTTTTTTTACAGAAAATGTAAAATAACATTATTTCACTATATTTAAATAAACGTGTGTGTGTACAAACACCATAACATACTATGAAAGGTCATACTGGCAGGTGATAAAGTGTTTCAGTTTGCTATAGGGAGTTTAATAAAGTTGCTTGATAAACTGGATTTCAGTTGTAGTACTGAGTCGTAGGAAATGTTGTAAACACATTCCTATCACTACTTTTATGCCTCCTCTGAATCCAACCTGGCCAGATGGACGAAAATTCAAGAACCTTTGAAGATATGATGGGTGACAGGTGGCCTTTCCACACCTTTCTTTTTCTTTCTCTTTCTCTATCTTGCTCTCTCTCACACACATTTTGTTTGAACATGCAAACAATACGTCATTCCAGGGTACTATTTTAGGTAAGCTCATGGGAGAAACAGAGAAGAAGGAGAGTGTTCGTTTTGACATGCTGCACTGAACTGTAGAGGGATTACAACACTCAGATTGGAGTATTGATCCACTGCAGCTGCTCTTGCATGGAGGATGAAGAGAGAGAAAGAGAGACAGACAGACAGACAGACACAATGTTATCTGATTCTTGTTTTTCCACTTTACACAAAATAACTGCATGGCTGATTCTTCAACTTAAAGCACTTTTGGCCACGTGAACGAAGAAACTAAACTTTTAAAAAATTTTCACACTCTCAACAGTTCCTTAAAATTGTCTACTAACAATGTTACGTGTGTATTTACATACATAAGAAGGGAATTATATCGTTTTTTTTCTTAAAGTCATGAACATTTCAACCACAGCATCATCTGACATGATGAAAATGACATGTGATGGAAATGACATTTTAAACATTGTTGGATGGCTGACTATTTTGTCTGGCTAAGGCTAACTTCATAGTACTTTATGCAGCCCAATTACACACAATTAAATATCTATCTATCTATCTATCTATCTATACACACACACACACACATTTTGTATTAAATATAATCCTATTTCATACTTTCGTTGCATCATTTTCTTTATTATGTTCGTCTCCTTTGGTAAATATGTATAATAACTTCTGAAAAAAAAATTGTTGATCATGACGGAAACTACGCCACATCTGAGAGACAGTCGTTATTGGTATAAAAATTAATATAAATCGCATTCATTTTTTTAATGTATGCATTTTGCTCATTGTTTAGGGTATATTAGATTTAAAATGTAATAATGAATATTTTAGGGTGATTTTTATATTTCAAGACTGAAAGTCTGGGTCTGGGACAATAGTAAAACAATAAAATGTATTTATGAATACGTTGCAAAAATAAATGGTAATGGTATGGCCAAAGTTCCAGTTTTTAATGTGAACTTCACATTCACAAAGAAATTTTCATAAAAAGAAAACATTTAAAATCTTCTCATTCTAAAAAATAATAATAATAATAATAAAATCAATCCAAGGCACATAAAAGTTCCTGATACTGAAGGAACACCCATATCTAAATGGGGTTTATTTCATCTGCACTCATTCAGAATTTTTAATCATTCGTGTTTGTCCAAATCTCAGAACACCGTGAATTACTATCTACTGTCAGATCTGTTGCCACTGGAGTGCAGCCCACACAGATAGAAATACGCACCAGACACCAAGACCCCATTCTTCAGATATGCAGAAGAACTGCATCAATGGGCTGCTTATCACACACAATCAAACAACACACATCAAAGTGCTCCGATAATACAGACACACAATCGGAATCTGTAGAAGTCGTAAATATGGAAAATATAAGTAAATCACTTTCTTCTTCAACGTAATTCTTTCATGTCCTCACACACAAACACACACGATTCTTTCAGAACCTCATTTGCAGGGCAAACAACACACACACACACACACACACACACAGTGTGGCGTTTCCACACAGACACGCAGATTAGATCATTATGATGGTAGATTGAGAACTGTCAGACAGGTAGATAAGGAGCAAATCACACGCATGCACACACGCTTTATGACTCATGTTTCGGTGAGTTTTCATTGCTCCGGAAACACACACAGCCCCGCAGAGAAGACCTCCCACAAAGCAGACAGAGCTAGGACTACACAACCAGACCCAACAAACAAACCACACCACAGCGTCAACACAGTACCTAAGCAACACCAGGGGACACGCTGCCTGTCATTTCAATAACTTTAAACTACTTGTTGACTTCCCTACTAATCCCAAAGATACTTTCACTCAACATGAGAAAAAATTATTATGTAAAAAGAAATAATAACATGTTAAAGGAGCTTTAATGATCAGAATCATACTTTATTACAGAAAAAGATGTCTGAAAATGTGCAGTGTATGGCATAAATAAATAGAAAGAAATGAAATCACATCTTAGGACTGAAAAGTGAAATTACAAACATTTCATGAGACATTTAATGATTCACAACCTCTTTTCCGGGAGTGCACACACATTCTGAAGTGTAAATCCAAGAAAGCAAAACGGTATCTGACCAAGTGACAGAAAGAAAGAGAAAAATAGTGAACAACATGTATTTACAGTGATATAGTAACAGAATCTGCATAGACAGTAGAAGTTCAACAGTACACACTAATGTAAAGAGTAAAAAACTGATCTTCTGTCACCTAGTGGTGCTTTATTGCAACATTCACAAGCTCGCTTGAGCTAAATAACTACTGCCACACAGAGGCGGACTTGTAAATTGGCCTTGTGACGTTCATTTCCCCTTATTTAAACAAAATGATAAATACATCCTATTTGTACAGCATTTATCCAAGCAAATAAATATAGTTTGATTAGTACTTTCCACATGTCAGCCAAATATTCAGTTTTCTTTAGCTGAATTACCCCAATATGGATTTGATATCAGTACGAGATGAAATTATGTGCTAATTTAAGAAAAAATGTGTAAGATGGTTTGTAGTTAAATTTAATTTAAATTAATAAAAATCTGGAAATAATCAAGCTATTACTGACTATTTATCTGATTTTCACCACAAAAGGGTTGAAAATTTCACTTCTGAATGCTCGCACTGAGTGAACCTCAATAGTCCAAACAACGGAAACCCTTTATCAAGCAGAGTTTATTTCACCTCTTTTATTCAGCCTTGTCTTTCTCCTCTTGTCCTTCTTTCTGGCTGTTTGTCACGCATTTATTCCAGTACATCAGGACCTGTGCTAGTATCACCCCACTGCAACAGCAGGCCACCACATACATCTGAGTTAAGAGAGAAAGGCCTGTGTCCTACAATAAGAGAGAGATTATATATGAAAAGAGAAATGTAAAATGTAATGGGAAATATTAACACATCTGATTAACACAGTCAAATCTTACGAATGTCTATCAAACATTTCCATTGTTATTGCCCCCCAAAAAAGTCACAGTTCATTAAACATTGACCTTTGGTGACAACATAAGCTTTTAAGAACAATTAAACAGCTTATTTAATATTTTTTGCTTTTAAAGTTTCAACGTAACAGAAGTAGAAAAAGACCTATTCTTCAATGTTGTAATGTACGTCCAAGTGAAACAGAAAAATGTAGGGCAGGATACTTGGTAGTTGATTCTATACGTCGGTTGAATGATTGGAGAAGAATTATGATATTTTAATCAAAAATTACAGAGGTCAAAAAGAAAGAAAGAAATAGAAATGTATGCACAAATTATTTGAGTTTCAGACTTTGACTTTGATAAATCCAACATACAAAATCACTGCTAGGGAAAGTGATCATTTGTCTAATTGTACGTTGACATTTGAATACTACAACCAACCCTGGTCTCTCTTGCATGAGTGTACTTTCTGCCCTGAGCGTAATGTGTTTGTGTACCTACAGTACTTACTGGGGACAAATTTGTACCCAGAAGTGAGCTAAACCTGACAAAATCTCCCATAACCTTCTTTTAAGGAATGTCCTCGTTTGTAAAAACAGCATAATCATAAAGTAAATAAGTTTTTTGTTTTTATTTGTTTGTTTTTTTGGTAAAAAAGCAGAATGTTTTCTGTTAGGGTTAGGTTACAGTATTTATAACTAGCTTTATTTAAAAAAAATTAATTAAAAAAAAACTGAAGTCTATGCAACGTCCCCATTAAGTTAAGTAAACATGTGTGCACCTGCAGGGAACTGAAGATGCGTCCCAGAGAGCCAAGAAAGTTCAGGAAAACAGAGAGCGCAGACAACTGTCCTGTGTGTCCCCATCTGAAGTTACTTCCTGCCTGGAAAAACTAAACACAACATAAAATACAAAAAAGTATTTTTGGTTTGTTTTTGTAAAGACAACGTACAGACACACATTCTCATCTCTATACATATTTTGGGGGGGGGTACAAAGTCCTGACTCACCCTGCCAGCAATAACCAACAGCACGTTCCACTCATACAGGGTCCAAACCACTGACACAGGAGTCAAAGGTGAGGCCAGGAGGAACATAAAGCCACAGTATACAGCAAGAAAATATATACCTGCATGAAAAACCCCAATCAAACATTCAAATAAGAACACTTAGAAGATTATGAAAAGGACCTTTTTTGTCATACAGTTTAAGCCTCTCTTTTTTTTCTTTCTAACCTTTTATGGGTTTCCCTCGGTAGTGCTGGACAAGCAAAGTCAGGACAGCAATCTGGATCAATGCAAACAAACTTTCCCCCCAGGCACTGCAAACACACACACACAAGTTCATGACTTAGCATATTCATCTACAGTATATATAAGCTTTTAGCATTAATGCAAACACTATTTTACCCAATGGGAAAGTTCTGAGTGTAGCAGAAAGCTGCATGTGTAGAGATGGCCAACAGCTCCAGAAAAACAGAGGTCAGACACAGTCCATTAGAACTTCCAGACCAAAGAACTTTCCAGATCTGAGGGAGTGGAGCTGTGGGAAGAAGTAGATTCACACATACTATTAAACACAGTCTCACAAGATATAAAACAGAGAAAATGTAAAGTAATTAAACTTTGGAGGATATGAAATATGATGTAAAATAGACTACTTACCAATAACAATTCCCACCAAAATCAATATTCCCTTAGTCTTACTTAAGACAATCTTCAGACAGGGTACTAGAGAACAATACAGAATAAATAGTAAAGAAATATTCTGTTATGTCGGCAAGTGCACTGGATAATAACTGTCAGTTGTGACTAACATTAAACAACAATGCAACCAGTCATCTGTGTGGTAAATGTAATGTGTTAAATCAATGTTAAATGCTAACAGTAAAAGTTTACCCATTGTAAAATGTAATTGTTTTGGAGGCAATACATTCGCTGATATTCTCATACGTTTATTCGAGATAAAGCTGTCTCTCACCGTGCATAAAGTTGAAGTAGAAGAAAAACTGGTCATAGCATTTTTCTGGCATGAAGAAAGTCGTTAAAAATTCTTTCAAAGGATGCATTGTTCCTTCATCAGACGTGTCCATAGTTCATGTAACGTTATTTCTGTCGCTGGTCGTGCTATCGTGTACCTACGCAAATCTTCAGCACGGAAAATAATGTCAGTTAAATTTATTGCTTAACACCAATAAATAACCATTCACATGATTAAATTAACTAGCCATCCGAAATTAAATACGTGACTTTTGGTGGTCTTTTTTTCTTACGTATAAGCAAAACTTTTTTGAATGTTTGAATGACCTGTCATAACATGTCTTATTTTCTAAATTCCACCAAAACTGTCTCTAGTTGGACAGCAACGCAAGCCTCACCAATGATGTTGACGTTTTAGAGGGGCGTCTCTGGGTTTAGTCCTTTACAGTCTATGGTGCAACAGCTGTCTCATGATGTTTTCACCACTGCCGAAATGAGAGCACCATTTTTCCTGGAAGTGTTTAACTAACTGCAATCAACGCCTTTTCTGTTTTCACAAATTAGACGTTTTTGTATTTACGCAAATTTAAAAAAAGTGGAAAATGTTTTCCTACAGGGGGCGCTCGAGGCTCATTCAGCCATTTATCATTTATCTTTTTTTTATATACAGTTCGAATAGTTTATCTTTCAGATGGATTTCTTTGACTGTGACTCTGTCATTTTTGTCATTATATTTCATTCAATTTGAGAGTATTAAATTGATTAGATGCATTTTAAATGCAGTATAAAACAGTGAAATAATATGCATTTAAAATAAGAATGAATGATACTTTAAAAAAAACTATTGGTATTAAATGTATTTTATACATTCTGTAAAAAAATACATGACTGGCCCATAGTAAGAGGTCATGTTACCCTACGGTGGCTCCTTTACATTATTTTCAGTTTTTCACCATACTATAATTACAGCTATAATTCCCCTAAACACTCAGTGAAGCATTATTTTACCTAACATGTTAAACTCATATTTCAGTATGTTTCAATTTATCAGTAAAAGCACACTGTCTGTGGATTTCACATGTGCATGTTTGGCTTGTGTTGCCTATCATATGAACCTTTTATGATGTTGTAAATACACGATTTACAAATACAACATTCATTTTTGGGTGTATGCATATTAACCATTGGAGAGCCAGCAACAGAATATGAAAATTAATAAAGTCTCTTTCCAACAAACTTTGCTCTGTAGTTCAACCTGTGCTGTTATTGGACCATTTTTCACAACCATGGGGAGAACTCCGACACAAAGAAGTACATTCAGAGTCTTCAAAAAGTAATGATAGTTTCATCCAGCTTATATATCGAAAAAGAGGAAGCAAAAAGAAGTATACTTCTTAAAAAGAGACAGTTTAGACAGTTCTAAGAAATAACAGTTACCAACCATTCATGCTTTGCACAGACACAAGATACACTTTGGCATGTTCACAAGACTATTTTGCTTAACTAGAAAGTGCTTTTAGAATTGTTTTTACTTTCTAAACGGGCAACAACACAAAGTTAATTTTGAGGGGAAACTGAGGATGTGGCATCATTACCGTGCTAATCTGATTTGTGTGAATTGTGACCCAATGGAAGCATTTCATTTGACAAACACTTTTTTTGTCCAAGGCTTGGCTGATAGGGTGTGTCAGTCGGAATGTTTTAGTATGCTGGGATTAGGGGTTATAGGCAGACAGGAAAAGCCTTTAAAGGAGATGTGTTCTTGCAGTGTTTCCATAAACCATGACTGCACCTCTCCTCAAACATAAACTCTGCTGAACATCAAAAACTTACTCATACTGTGTGACAAACAAAATCTGTTTACTATCAGTCATTGCAAATTTGTTTAACTCCTTTAATGGAAATCTTAACACAAAAACATGGGAACTTTCTTGAATGAAATAAAACAGGTTTACCACAGCAGAATCATTATATGTTAATAAATAAATAGGCTGGGCAATGTCCTCTTTTATACTGGCAAAGGAAATAGCAAATCGTTTTTTAGATAACGCTATTTGCTTTGCAGTGTCACCGTCATGTTTTTTTTCTCTTACTACAGAGACGGTCCAAAGTCCCACGGTACATTTGCTTTATAGCACCCTGTGCAAACATAATTTAGTGAAGTGAATACAACACACATCCCACACACACACACACACACTTCTCCACAGTTCATCATTTATTTTGTGTCAGATCTGACTCACGCTGCAACTGAATGATTAAAAATGTACTGTTTACGAATGTTATGGCAACCAGAGTGACAGATCCCTACAAAAATTAAATTAAATGCATAGAAACATAAATTTGTATATATGGGTTATAAGCTGTAGTTTTTAATGCTTGATGATGGTTATTTTAATTTAAAAGTCTTGTTTTGTTTATTAAAATAGCCTGTGTGAATTCCAGAGACTTCTGGGTTAAAAGGTTTATATGTACAAACAGTTGAAAAGGTTAACACTGTACACCACAAACACCTAAGAAACAAGAGTAAATAAAACAATTTAATTTTATATTGTATGGTTTAGATATAGATTCTCTGGACAGGGTGTGGTTAGAGGAACTGGATTCTATGGGCTGGTCTTATCTTAACTCAATAATAAATGACTAGCAGTGCTTATAAAAACCTCTGCACTCTGGCAGACAGACAACTTCAGGCTGTGTGTGAGACTCAGAGACGATAACCAAACTTGTTGTCAAGTTCTTTTTTATCTTGGAGCTTTTTACATAAAATAGTGTAGAGATTACAGCTGTTCCCTGACTTCAGGATTATAATACCCATCTTGCAGCATGTGTACGGGAAAATGTGCGCTTTGCGTCGGGACAAGTCTGTACCCGTCGGCAGTCATATCCATAATATGTAATATTATGCTGTTTTTTCCTGGCTGGGATGTAAAGTACGCACAGAATGGACAAATTACTGAGGAGGTCAAATACATGGGAGGACTGATTGGAGGGGGGATTCTGGTAAGTCTGGTTTTGTTTAATTGCAATGTTGAACTATATAAAAATTTGAATTTTATTTAGGCATCATAGCGAGTAGCCAATATGATGATTCTAGGTTTAGTTTGGGCTTCACAGTAAATGAACAAAACACATTTATTGTGTGTTAGAGTCAATCCAAACTCTATCAAAATGACAAAGTGATGAAAATCTAAAAGAATTCTCCTCTCTCTCCTCCAGGTGCTGATTCCAGCGTTTCACATTCACTTGACTGGAAAGCAGGGTTGTTGTGCTAATCGCTGTGGGGTGAGTTTGCTCCAACCCTGACACCAACAGACACTTTATTTTTAGTCTGAAGTTTATAAATATCCTTTAGAAATTCAGTTATGAAGAGGATTGTCCACTGGACCTTTACAAGCCCAGGAAAAGTGATGCATTTGTCACCTTTACGGTTTAGGGATAAAAATAAAAAAGCATCCATTTTCAGAGAGTTTAGAAATGGAAGCGCAAGTGCAGAGATTTTACTTTAAGCAAACTGAAAAAAAATCAAATGTACGTGCATGCTCAAAAGTTGACAAATGACAACACAAACAAAAGAAGATTATAAACAAAACGACTGATTGACAAATGAAAAATAGGTGTTAAGACAAAAAAAGGACAGGAAATAGCAATGAACCCCAAATACCTTCTAAAGTAAAGTAACATTACAAAGAGCAAGAAAATCATAACTGAACACACACAAGCCTTATATAACTTGCTTGGCCAGTGTCTGTGCTATGAGTGGGCTCAGAGGGGCCTGGCCCGGCCATTTCAGTCCCATGTTACCGATATGTGTTTCTAGATCTGTTGTGAGATCAATATTGTGTTGACAAATATTTTGTAAAGATGCTGCATAAGGAAGAACTTTTGTTAAAGTAGTGGACTGAATCTTCTCTTAACACATAAAGACAAATAAATGTATTTAGAATGTAACCGAGTACATGTGATGTGAAGAACATGTCATGTGCCTGTTAGCGTGACGCACACGCTAACAGGCACATGCGTAGACTTGTCTGAAAATACACAGCCGTTCCTCTGTTTTGAAAAAATCTATAGAGTCTGACATGTGGCTTGAAAAATGTGCCCTCATTGCAAATATTTGCAGTTTGTGACTTGTAAGAACCTCAACAGTTGTACAATCACTGGAATCACTGGATGACAACCTCACTGAATGGTGACAGAATTGTAGGAGTTCATTTTTCGGCCATGTTGTTGTTGTGTGATTGGGAAATTGTTCTTAAGACGTCTTCAAAATGAACATGTGGAAAATGTAGACACAATAATTCATAAAGATTGCATGCCTGAATTAATTTCTTGTATATTTGTATTACGTTTTTAAATTAAATCATTCTGATGAAGGATTTTCTATTTCAGATGTTCCTGTCCATTTTATTTGCAGCAGTGGGTGTAGTCGGCGCCCTTTATAGTTTCATAGTGGCGCTGATGGGTTTAATCAATGGGCCATACTGTAAATATTACCTTCTTGTTTGGGGGACTCCCTTCAAAGACAAGTAAGAGACACACCTCAGCACTTTAAAGGGGTCATATGATGTTGCTAAAAAGAACATTATTTTGTGTATTTGGTGTAATGAAATGTGTTTATGCGGTTTAAGGTTCAAAAAACACATTATTTTCCACATACTGTACATTATTGTTTCTCCTCTATGCCCCGCCTTTCTGAAACGCGTAAATTTTTACAAAGCTCATCGGTCTGAAAAGTGAGGTGTGCTGTGATTTGCCAGCTATCCAGTGCGTTATGATTGGCCGAATACCTCAAGCGTGTGACGGAAATGTTACGCCCCTTACCATACTATGCCGTCTCCCGGCGCAATGAGACAAAAACATTAAAACCCATTATAAACGAGGCATTTGTTGCATCCAGTGGGGACATAATTACGGATTATAATGACTTATACTGTCTTTTTACGCGTTGCATTGCTGCGTAAACACAAAACTATATGTCAGCATTTGTGATCGGAGAAATCAAACAACAAGCCCTACCCTACACTGCCCAAAAAACTCGCTTTAAACATA